ATCGATAAAGCCACAGCTTTGAGGTTAAGCGCGGTAAAAAAAAATCAAAAATAAAGCACGACAAAATAAAGGAAGACTCACTTCATCTTCATACTGCAAGAATATGCGGAAGTTGGAATCTTGCCGGAATACCGGGTGAGCAGCAATTCTCTGCAGAAACACCTCATGCATAGCGACAGTTTTCTTGAACTGGGCAAGATAATCCCTAAATCCATTCATCCTCTATCAGTCGAACTGTAGGCAGTAACATGTTTAAGAAGAATTTTCATGCCATCAGGAATTTATTACATACTGTTCGAGTTCCTGTTTCATTTTCAAAAACTCCTCCTTCGTCATGGTCGCTTCTCCTTCACCGAGTTTTTGCAGCTTTTCACGTGACGAGTCGAAATCGGGTCGAGGTGGAGCCGGAGGGACCTTAACTTAGAAATATAAAGTCTCTAGCAATCCGTTAAATTTGATACTCCGACAATTTGGCAAAATTGTCATCAGAAGGTACAGCAAAAGGTGATTTCTTGCTGTTTTCAGAAAAAGCTCTTTTGTTCAAATGCACAGGACACAGGACTAAAAAGGGATCGACTCACAATGAAACCCGCATAGCTTTCGTTTTCATCCAACACACTATGAAGCCAGAGGAATTCCTCATGCTCGCGAACAACCGAAGTCTCAGGACGCATTCCTTGGAGACGAGTCTTTGTATGTACTGTGTACTTCACCTATAAAATCACAAATCAAGCCACCATGAAATGTATGAGCGACAATTAATGGAGTTAGTAGTTATTTCACTTTTCCAAGCGTTGCAGCAGCTTTGTCATCCATATCAGACTTTCAAAATGTTGAAATTGAAGAACTAAAATTTGTTCAGCATTCCAAAAGTGGAAGGTGCATGAACGCTGATGTTCTTAAATCCCCTCAATTTTCGGAAAAAGCTTCAGTGTGAAGTACGAAAGGATATGAACAGATAATAGTAGGAAATGGAATGGAAAGGTAATAGCGGAGCTTCCAAAAATGGGCGATATTTCTCGTTAGATTCCCGTATAGCAATAACGCTTCCGATTCAAAGAAACTGATAACGTAAGTGTCGTATTTATAGCTCATCTTACAACACCGTAAGTCCGATAAACTTATAGCATCATACTTCACGAAGGCTTACAGTGGCCTTTACTGCTTTATGGTCAACCTTACCTTTCTCTTTGCATAATTGCAAGAGTACGTAAATACACATCAATTACGGCTAATTGCCCCTTGCAGTATAATCAGGAAAGGGAGATGTAAAAAACTGATAGAAGCAATAAGCATCCCAAAAATATCTACCCAATAGAAGAAAAGAATTAAAAAAGAAAACAGATAAGAAACGCGAGGCGAGTTTAGTATGCATACCTTATCCCTCTCTGAAAGGGCATCAGAGATATCGACCATGATAGCATTATCGGAATCGAGGTCCACGTTGATTTCTTCAGTACGATGCTGCAACATCACAGAATAACAATGAACATCAGAAGACTGTTCGAGCGTGAACTCGATCGATCGTCAGCTGATAACATACAGGCAATTTTAACGATCCGTCCATACAAGCAATAACAGCTACCGTTACAGCGAGTCAGGGTGAGTTTTTGCCTTATGTTTAAACGTTGATGCCATAGAATATAGTTAAAACTCCAAATTCAAAAAGCAGTAAAAAGACGTCAGCGCTCAAAGGAAGTGTAATAGGCGATTATGTCCAAGATCCTATTCCAAAAGTCCTTCTCATCTTAAGGTATTAACGAGGATCGAACAAGGAGATTGTTCTGGTGACTAACTTTAGTTTGCATACCATTGTTTACCGCTGACGTTTCCCGTACAGCACCATATGTCATCGTTCTAATACGGAGCTGTCATCGATGGTAGGACTAACAAATCTCCTTATAGTAGACTATAAAAGTGACACTACAGTTTTTTCATTCTTCAGTGCTTTTTACACTCGATTTCTGAATCCGCTTCCATGGTACTACTGATTTATTGAATTTAACGTAATCAAATGGATCTAGTAATTTTTAGGCTTGGCTATATTTACTCAAACACTAAGCAGAGGTTTTTTTCTTTTCTATAGAGCAGGCCCTATGCAGACGCAATTAAGTCATAATTTATAATGGTGCCCTCTTCATACTACAGTGAGTAATTAATTTCTCTCGAATGATTACTGTTAGTTACTATCCAAGGGCACCAGTTTTACTGTAGTGGCTTGCCTAGCTATCAACTACTTCCGAAAGAAATATGTGGCTTAATAGTAACGAGCGACCTAGTTTGAAGAGAAATTGCATAACATGCCGCTCTTAATATCAGAAAGCTAGAGAGTATAATTGTTTTGAGTTCTCGCTTCATTCGCCATTCAAAAGTGCGATTCCGTTCGAAAGAAGGCCATAAACACCGCGCAAAGACCATAGTTGCGTTCACACTAATGGTAGCGACGCCGGCGTCAGCGCTCCGATGCCGCCTTTGTTGGCATGAATGCAACCAACGGGAATTCTGATGATCGCATCTCTACTTCTCTGTCCAATAAGATCTTTCCGCTGAATCTTCCTTGAAACTCTCTCCAGATTGTCGAGGAAACACGCATCTAGCTGTAGGGAGCGACTAACCCTACTGGAAAAGAGGCCATTTCGTTAAAAAAAAA